CATCTCTACATCTCTTGAATCTGTCTACTTTTCCTCCCTGACATGGCTATCACCTTTGTTCTAGTCCTCGTCACTCTTCTCAAGATTATTGCAATAGCTTATTAATTTGTCTCCCTGCTTCTAGTCTCTCCCAATAATATTCTATCTATCACCCTTCTGTCAAAGCAATGTAATGTATCATTCACTGCAACTGATCCTGGCAACCTGAACCAAATAGAGTCAATTTCTCTCTTTATCTTATTACACTTTTAGCAGAATTTAGTCTGAGGAAATCACTGCAATAAAGCTTAGATTTAGTTCATATCTATTTTTCCAAATGTGGGTAACAGTTCTAAAGCCATATAATCTTTTAATGTACAATATATGTATCAGGTATGGGACAGGCTTTATTATGTGTCACCTCCTACCTCTCCCCATTTCCAGAAAATGTTCTGGACAAGGATTCATAGGGATCCATGAACATAAAAGGTAACTTGATGCTTTCAAATAGCCCATTAGACCCACTCTTGACCTCAAACACATTTCAGAGGCTACTAAACATTCATTACCCTTTACATGGACTTACTTGGATTTACTATACAACCAACTCATGATGATAATAGTCATATCAAAGCCCAGATTTCTTGTCTCTTCATCCCCATGCCTTGGTTTTAGTTTTCCAGCTGCGGAGTGAGTCTCTTCCTTTTCTTAGAAGCATGCTTTTGAAAAAAATAGTCTTCTACCTTTCGTGGGCTTGTGCCCGAAAGTCCAACCTCAAAGAACTCTATATTTGAGTTTAACCACAAGGCACTTCCCAAAGCAGATGCTGCCCAGGAAATTTCACTTCCTTGGCTTGAAGACTAATTTATATGATCATGTTTTTTGGGGAATTCAGAATCCCACCATCCACTAGATGGGAGGTTATCATTCAGAAACAATGTCCTTGAGCTTATCATTTCAAGTTATACATAAGCACATTTCTACCACTGATAAACACTTGTATGGTAAGTAGCTTTTACTGTACCTTGGTGTGATTAGAAGGGAGAAATTCCCTCTTTCAAAACTGTTTGCATTCCAAAAGAAAGCACAAAGTCGATGGTAAAGGAGGTATTCTAAAAAGCAGGGGAAGGTAGACAAAGACAACCACCAACATCCAAACAGGTCTTTTAGCTCATTTCAAAGACTGCAGAGGGTTGTATCTTTCAATAAGAATACATTATTCTCCTAAGACTCAGTCTACCAGTAATCAGGAGGCAGTTCTAGTATCTGTAACCAAATCAGTAAATCCCCACCACACAGAAGAATTAGGGTCTACATTAATCAGTGTGCTTTACAGTGAAATTTCTGAAGTACTAGTCTGATCATTCCCCTGGTCAAAAAGCTCCACTGATATCCTTATTCCCTAAAGTATAAAAGAGTCAACCCTTCTGTTACTTAAAGGTCTTCATAATCTATCATTAACTTATTTTCCTAGCATTTAATGAAGATATTATTATTCCTATCATTATTGATATTTTTCATTTAATAATATTCAATTAAGTAAAATTAATAATTCAATTAAATAAAATAAGATTGAATTAAACAAAATAATACTTAATAATAATTATTAATAATGAAAAATAATATTTGTATAGACCCTGCTATGTTCCAGGTACTGTTTTAAGCACTTTACAAGCAATATTTCATTTGATCCTCACAACAACATTGTAAAGCAAGTACTATTATCATCTCCATTTTACACTTGAGTAAACTGAGGCAAACATAGGTTAAGTGACTTGTCTAGGGTCACACAGCTAGTGTCAGACACATTTGAATTAAGATCTTCCTGATCCTAGGTTCAGTGCTCTATTCACTGTATCACCTAGCTTCCTCTAATATTTAATGTATAAATTATTCAATATATTACTCACCTTCACAAACCTTTCAAAGCAGCCAAACTGTCCCAGTTGCTGTCCTCACACCTGGTACTACATTTGTTATCTTTGCAGGGGCTGATCTTTATGCCTAAAATGAATTCATCATCACTTGCATCACATCCAATCTTAGAATCCCTACTTTCCTTCAAAATTCAGCTGAAATATTATCTCCAACCTTCTTGATCCACCAGCTGCTTTTACTCTGAAATTACCTTCTATTTAATTTGCTTATATATAGTATCTACTTACCTATATGTAAGTTGTTTACTTGATGGAAGGTAAGCAACTTCATTTTTGTTGTTGTATCCCTAGTGCCTAGCAGTGTCTGGAAATACTAGGTACTTAATATATGTTTGTTGATTAATTGAAATTCTTGATTATAGTTTAGTTTCTCTAACAAAGTTCTATACCATGCCTTATCATGTTATAATGGTGACCCTGGAATCTAGAACATTATGTCAAGGAAGCACAGACTTTCACAGATCCTAATATCCTGGAAAGGCACTGAGTATTGATGGGGTCGTAGCATACAAAATCTCTCATTATAACTGTGTGTGTTCCTAAATTATTGCTGGTTTGTTACTTTGACCATTAGATGACCCAAATGCACATAGGCACTTATGAGAGGTAGTATGACAGAGTTAGAGAGCCACCCTCAAAGTAATTTCTCACCTCTGACACATACTAATTCTGTGATCCTGGATAGATCAGTATCAGTACTCCAGGCAAGTTTTAAGACTTGAAGCTGGGGAGCATGTACTGATCTTTCTGCCTGGAGAGAGTATCTTTCCTGTACCAGTGAAATCACCAGTGAAAGCCAGTATAACAACAATGATATCTGTATTGGCCTTTCATTACTAAGATCAAATATCTTTTGAAAAATTGAGGAATACCAAGAGTTATGAAAATAAAATTATGAGGAAAAGATAAAATGCTTTTCAAAACCATCTCCCCCACCCCTTCTTTTTCTAGTCTATAGGGAATGTAAAACATTTACTGAAGAATTACTATTTAGACCTTTAAGTTTTTTTGCAAGTAAAGAGATAGTATTCCTTGGAAAATCTATATATTATTCATTGTATATGTACAGAAATCTGGACTGTCAGGAAGTGCCTATCCTATTCATTAGAAGCCAGGTGCTTCTAATAAGAAATTGACTTAAGCTTAGGAAACCAAAAAATAATAATAATAATAATTCTGAAAAAGCTAGAAAAGATAAGGCAATAATTTTCATAAGATAAGAGAAGCTTTAGAAGATTTAGAGCTAGACAGAACCTCGAAGGTAATGTATCCAATGTCTTACTTTTGTAAATAAGGAAATTGAGACTCAGAGAAATTAAATGACTTGACCAAAACCTAATAGATTGTAAGTAATAATAATAATTGTAGCTAACATTTTTATAGTGCTTACTATATCCCAGCCTCTGTGCTAAGCAATTTACAATGATTATCTTATTTGATCCTTACAACAACCTCTGGTTGTTGTTGAGTTGTTTCGGTCATTTCCAAATCTTAATGACCCCATTTGAGCTTTTCTTCACAAAGATACTGGAGTGCTTTGCCATTTCTTCTCCAGCTCATTTTACAGATGAGGAAACTGAGGCAAACAGGGTTAAATGACTTGCCCATGGTCACACAGCTAGTAAGTATCTGAGATCAGATTTAAACTCAGGTCTTTCTGATTCTAAGACCAGCACTCTATCCACTGTGATAGAGTCCCAGGAAGGTTAGGTTCCATTATTATCTTCATTTTATAGATGAGGAAATAGATTAAGTTTCCTAGGGTCACCCTGAGGCTACTGACTCCAGGCCCAGTGCTCTATCTACTGTGCTAACTAGCTGCTCCTAAATAAATGGTAGGGTTGATATTTGAACCCAGGATTCCTAGCTTCTAACTCAGAACACATTCCTTGGTCTCCCCCAATGGGATTAGAGCAATGTTCCTCCAATAAAATTTTAGTTTGAAAACTGAATCTTTAGTCTGTTTTAGAGGATGCTAGTGAAGGAAGAGCCAGTGAGGATAGTACCCATATATGGCAAATGTCAGGCTTCCATTATCTACCTCACAGGATTGCATGCACTATCAAACACACACACACATTTACACAGGGTATCTCAAAAAGTCTTAGAGCAGTTTAAATTTAGTATGCTTATTAAAGCTTAATAGGTACTAATATTTTGAGATTCCTGTGTATTTTGTAGGTAAGATACATTGCAAAGCAGACCTTCTGCTCTATGTTCTGAAAATGAACCTGTTTTCTAAAGGCATGAGCTATGAAATGAAAAGGCAAATGCTCTTCTTACAAAGAGCTTTTTTTTTCAGTCTGTTTTAAAACTAAATATACTTATTACCTTCCCTTCTTCACCTTTGGGGGAAAAAGCTGGGCTGCTGTTTTGTGACATTCTTTGTAATTATTGTTTGGGCTTAAGAAGTGATAATGTTCAAATAATTAATGTTAATTAATATGTAACTTTACAAGATATCTTTAGTCCATATCTTTATTGACAAAATGCAGGTTTTTAAACATAGGATTAGATGGCTAAAATCATTGCAACCATAAAAAGACAACATGGGTCTTACCCTGCATTATTAGAAAGGTAGTTGTGAAATAGGTGCTACAGAAATTTTTATTTCCATTTTACAGATGAGGAAACTAAGGCTTGAGGTGGTTGAGTGATCCACACTAACGTTAACAAGTACGGGAAATGGAATTTGAACCCAAGTCTCTTGACTCTAAGTGTGATGTACTTTCCACTGTACAATTCTCTCTTGCTCTAATCAAGTTTTACACAGCTATCCTGGATCATTTCACCTTCTTTAAAAATTTTCCACAATATGTAACATTTTTATTTGCTTTTATTGTGATATTTCCATTCTTAGCATTTAATGCAGTACCCTGTGACTCTCTAGTCAAGTTCAGTAAGTCTGCTTTTATTTATTATAAATTAAATGCAGTATTAATACCGAACTCAAGAAAATGGTTTTGTGAACTTTTTTTTAAATAAGCTAAATTGGATATGGTTAAGGTGTAAAAAAAAAGTTCAGGTTGGCATTGTTTCTTGCTTTGTTTGATTCTAATGTATATTTTTTCCATTTCCTCCTAGTGCTTGGAACCATGCAAAGAATCATGGGAACTAAAGAAAAACCAATGCCAAAGTTTTTGTGAGGTATGTCAGCTACGTAATATTTCTTCATAGTTTAATCCCAGAACTTTTTGATATGAGAATTAAGGTGCAAGATTCTCAGACAAACCATGACTTTGAAGAAGAGAGATTTTTATTCTCGTTTTCAGATTAAAGATAGACTAGGGAGGGCAGTATGTTTTCTAATCTCTGTCAAACAAACAAAAAGATGGAAACTTTGCTATTTGTTCTTTAATCCATTCATGAAATGACAGGAAACCTAAATGGTGAGCAGGTATTTGGAAAGGGGACAGTTGTCAAAAGCAAATTTTACCTGTTTGGTAATTTTAATTAATAATAATAAAGAATCATTTAATTTAACAATTTATATAACAACTTAAAGGGTTTTTTTAAGTATGTTTCCTACACGAACCCTGTTAGGTAGATAATGCAAACATTGTCCCCATTTTAAGCAGAAAAACTAAATCTCATAGAAGGGAAGTGACTTGCCTAAGATGACACCACTAGTAACTGTTCAGTCAGAACTGGACCCCAGCCAGGTCTTTCCTGACTTCCAAGTCCAGCTGTGCTTACCACTAGTCTTCACTTTGACTATAATGTCTACTGTCTTTGCCCTAAAAAAGAAGTCTTGCTATTCATATTCCAGTCACTGACCAAAGAAACACAAGCCAAATAATACATTAAAAAATCCCTATTATTCAACTATTTGGAGCAATGTAGCACTAATCTAGTCTTTGCTGTTCAGCTGATCTCAAAGGCAGAAGTTCCCAGAGATAGAAGCATTCAGTTTAGCTGGTTTCTGGACAGAGCTCTAGTCTTTCTAAACATTCCCCCGAGATCCCTACTTTTATTTCATTTATCTGAATTTACTATATTTGCTTCATTTATTATATAATACCAAGGAGATCTAGCAACAAAATTAAAATATGCCTTTAAATATTCAAGTTGAAAATAAACCACTATAATGAGCTTGGGACTGCAATAGTAATAATAAGCAGCAATAGCTTCAAGGTATGCGAAATGCTGTAACATGTATTGACTCATTTGATCCTTACAACAATCTGCAAGATGTTATTATCCTCATTTTGCATATGAGAAAGCAGAGGAACAGTGAGTTTAAGTGACTTGATGAGAGTTAGACAGCTAGCATGTATCTAAAGTAGGATTGAAACATGTCTTCTTGAATCCAAATCCCTGTTCTCTGTCAACTGTTTCACCTGGCTGCCAAATCAATAGAGCTAAATGCTTGCTCCTACCCTCTGCCATTCACCATACTATTTCAGCCTTGAGGAGCTAAAATTATATTAGGAGTTTGAATGATTTCATACTTTTATTTGTAACAATGTAGTTAGAATTTTCAAAATCCTCTTTTCCAAGGACACAAGATGTGTGTGTGTGTGTGTGTGTGTGGTGTGTGTGTGTGTGTGTGTGAGAGAGAGAGAGAGAGAGAGAGACAGAGAGAGAGACAGAGACAGAGAGAGACAAAGACTGAGATTATGTCTAGCTCTAAATTCAGAATTCTCTTATCTTATGAAAATTATTGCCTGGTCTTTTCTGTGATCTTCTGTAGAATAATGGAATAAGGGATTCAAGAAAAGAGGATAGTGTGAGAGCTGAACTTACCAGGGGATCAAGACTAGGAAGGGAAGAGAATGGATGGTGAAGGAAGGATGGTGTCCTAGGAAAGAACTAGGATGTAGAGGTAATGAAGTTAATGATTAGGATGAAGAATGGGGTTTAGATTTGCAAGGCACAGTGAGAGGTGGAATGACAACTCATTACAATCAGATAAAGGAATTTCAGAGTTCGTAAACATGGGTGTGGAACATTTGTGGGTGAGGACAAGATCAATGGTATAACTCTATGTATATCTCTTTACATTTGGTATATATGTGTGTATTTTAATATACCTATCTGTGTAAGTTCATAATGTTTCTCCATTTAGAATGTAAGCTTCATGTGGGTAATGACTATTTAGTTCTTGTTTTTGTATCCTCAGCACCTAAATACAGTGCAGGTGTCACATAGTGTTTAATCAATATTTTTGATAAAATATAATCAAATTATCAATAAAAAGACTTTATTTTTCTGTATGATCTAAACACATACTACATGGGCTCCTATGCCTCTTTCATTTCTTCTCTTAAACCTATATCTGAAAGTGCCTGTAGAAGAATTAATGTGCTCATATATCAGAAAAAAGAGTGACACCAAAACATAGATTTTGAGTTGGAAAAGACGTTGGAGGTCATCTGGTCCAACTACCTCATTTTATAGATGAGGAATCTAAGATCCAAAGGGGTTAAACCATTTATTCAAGGTCATACAAAAAGCAATTGAACCTAGACAAAGAACCTGTTCTATCAAAACCTTGCCAGACATAGTATGTCAGGAAAATGCCATAGATAGAGTTTGCCTGTATTTTTAGCAAAACATTTGATAGTCTCTCGTGCTGTTGCAACAGACAATGTGGAGAAATGTAGACTGGGGGATGGGGAAGGAAATAAGCATTTATATAGCACCTTCTATATGCCAGGCACCATGCTAAGTGTTTTTCAAATATACCATTTGATTTTCACAATAATACTTCCAGGTGAGTGCTAGACTAGATGAGTACAGTACTAGACCTAGAGTCAGGAAGATCCAAGTTCAATAACTGCTTCACACAGTACTTGAGTGACCCTGGCAAGTAACTTAACCTCTGTCTTAGTTTTCTTATTTATAAAATGGGGATAATAACTTAACTCCTACAGTTGCTGTGAGGATTAACTGAGAAAATATTTGGAAATTACTTTGCGAGCATTGAAATGCTATATAAATTGTGATCATCATCATCATCATCATCATCAGTTCATTGGGTTTTCAGTTATGTCTGACTCTTCATGTCCCCATTTGGGATTTTCTGGGCTAAGATACTGAAATGGCTTGCCATTTCCTTCTCTAGTTCATTTTACAGATGAGGAAACTGAGGCAAATGGCATTAAGTGACTTGCCCAATAAGTGTCTGAGGCCAGATTTGAACTCATGAAGATGAGTCTTCCTGACTACAGGTCCAGCATCTATCCACTGTCTCATCATCATCATCATCATCATCATCATCAAATTATACAATTAAGGGGGTTTGAAATTGGCTGAATGAACAGATCTGAAAAGTAATCGCTAATGGGTCAACATCAACTGAATTTGATAGAAAGTCTCTAGTGGAATGCCCCTGGGATCTATGCTTGGTTGACTTTATACTATTTAAAATGTTTATTAGTTAATTAGTTAACAAACATGCTGACCACATAGAGGCATGAGGGGTAGCTTTAGATGACAGGATTCAAAAGATCTTGACAGTCTCAAATTTTGACCTCAATATTATAAGATGAAATTCAATACTGATAGATGCATTATTACTTTGGGTTATAAAAGTTTTATTTAATAATGAGAAAGTATGATTAGAAAACAATTTGGGAAAGATTTGGAGGTGTTAATGGATCTCAGATTCAGTGTGAGTTAACAGTATGATGTGGTAACCAGAAAAGTCTTGTGACCTTAGAGTGCACTAAAAGGCATAGTGCCTTGTGTGAGAGAAGTGATAGTCCCATACTGGGTCAGATCACACCTGCAGTTCTATGGGGTGCTACATTTATGGAAGGAATGACAAATTAGAGAGCAGCCAGAGGAAGGTGACCAGAATAATAAAAACCTGAGATCATCTATATGAATGCCCCTCCCTATTTTCTAACCATCTCCTCCATTGGGCAGCTGTCTTCCCTCCTACACCAGAGACTATGCCCTGGAGGCTGTGACCCTTTCATCTCTAAGACTTCTGTCCTTGGACCCTCCTTTCCTGATTGGTGATTGCCTTTCTAGGAACTTCATCCTTCCCTAAGCATCATTCCTGACTTTTTGGACTGTTTCCACCTAGTCACAGCAGCCTCCTCACCCTGGAAGTTCACTCTGCCCCTACAGCCTCCCCACCTGGGAGTGCCCTTCACTCCTGACCTTCTTACACTGGAAATACATTCTGCCCTGGGGCCATTCCTCTGATTTGCTGGTTCCTCCTAGAACTTCCATTTTAAGGAAAGTACGCAGACAAGCTCTTCTTCATTTCTCTAGAGACACTACTTATGATTCTCTGAACTTTGTCTCTGCACTGTGCCTTCTCTCTCACTCTCCTTTTCTGTTTCTTCTTTTCTAAAAATATATTATTTTCCTCCATTCATTATCTGTTTGTATCTGTATTCCCAGATTTAGTACAGTGCCTGGAACATAGTAAGTGCTAATAAATTCTTGTTGACTTGGCCACTATTTTAGGAAAGCCTCAGTGCTTACCTTCATTCCCAACCTTTAGCTGTCTCTTCCCCTCCAGTCCTGAAAACATAAGCCATAATGAAATCAAATTTGCCTTGCTCTTTTATCACACTCCAGGCAGGTACCATCTGTGGCCACCTACAGCTCCACAAAGCCTGCTTTGTCCCTGCCTGGATAACCTACATATACTCTCCACTTCCAACTACCCATATTTGTCTGATCTCCTGGGATAGCACTACCTGAGGATGAACTTGTAAGTGTACTTGTAAGTGTCTGGCTCTCACAGTCTTTTCTCCACCCTAAATCCTGCCTATATACTATGGGACTTCATCATGCATATTGATATTTCCTCAAATACTTTCACTTCTCAATTCCTCAACTTACTCATTTTTCATGGCTTATTCCTCCAGCCCTCTAGAGATATGCATAGAGGTTATTTAACTGATATCGTCATCACCCACAAGTTCCTCACCCACGTTTATGAAATTCCTTCATCTGATTGTATCTGTTGTTATTGCATCTCACACTCTGCCTTGCAAATCTAAATTCTTCATCTTAACAATGGCCTTTATTACCTCAATCTCCCACTTTCTTCCCAGAATACTATCCCTGCAATCACTACACTTTCTTATTTTCCCCATCTTGATCCCTACGTAAACCAGTTGAGCTCTACATTGTCCTCTTTTCTTGAATCCCTTACTCCTTTATGCTACAGAAGATCTTTC